TGTCCCCTGTGCGCTGTAAGGGAAACCACTCGCTAACTGCCCGTGGTTCCACTTACGAGCTCATTTGCGCGGGAGCAGTCGAAGACATGCCACTGCGACAATACGCACCTAATCGCCACCTGGGCGTCCGATCATCGCAAGATCAGCTACGCTCTCACGTGTCACCAGCCCACCCGCTTCCGAGAGCTACCGGAGCCAAGCCGGACCGGGACAAAAGGTTGTCGGTGACCTCTGAGTTTTCGCAGCGCGCGCTGCCTCTAAACGACATGCGTGAACACAGCATGCGGCTGGGCTTCAGCTGAACCAAAGTGAAGAGTCACCGCGCCGCTCTGGGCCTCAGAAGAGGCCCATTGATGCGCCAACTGCCAGTGCCATGAGGCAATTAGGGCGTCGTCACAATGACGTTTTTAATCCCTTTTGCCCACGTGAAGGTTGGTTTCTTTTTCCTGAGTTAACATGAACTCGAAACACTCGGCCGTCTTTGGCGTTGCAGAATTACGCGGGGTACCATGCTGGCGCCGTACTGTGTCTGCGTTCACGGCCAATCTGATCGGACACGCTTAGACTGAGTGTCACTAAAGCAATGCTGTCTGCCAATGGCTGGCATGCCTCCCCAAGCTTAAGAAACAAAGTAAAACAAAAGGAAACTAAAACTGCTGTGCAACCTACGCAACCGCGCAAACTTAACGTGGTCCTACAGTGAGCTTGCACGCATAGACGTGTGAGCCGGATTGTCACAAGGTCTTTTTTTTCTATCTTGTAGGCATGTATATAAAGCAGAGATATACTAATCTTGTTTTCGGGTGACTGAGTGACATAACCGGGTCAATAACAGATGCAGAACGGCTCTATTTGACAGACAACGAAATATATATAAGCTGATTGCCTATAACATTATATGAGATGACAAGCCATATTTGACACGTGCTGGCAGTGAACTGCTTATCGCTTTGGCATCTTTAAAAACTACAGGGTTTGTGCTGGTCTTCGTAGTACTGTAGACCTTTAGAAGACCGGAAAACTTGAGGGAGCGTCTTCGGCTGGACGAGGTGTTGGCGCAGTGTGAAGAAACGGTAACAATGTCGTTGGGTGCTGGAGTTGCCGTGCATAACGGCTCCTGTCATGTGCACACCTGCGGTTTTCTGTTGTGCAGGTACTGCGGTAACGAATTGCCAGGGTCCACCTTTGAAGACGTGGTTGACATACACCCCCTGACGAATCTGGTTCAAGAGACGCCGGGATCACCTATGTGTCGACTGTTACCAGACGAAAACCCTGGGTGCGTTTGATGAAGCCTGGACACCAGCACACTCGCGGGCAAAGTTGCGGACCAACACCAACTCCAGGGACTGTAACCTAGAATGCTGCGAATTACAGATACAGGTAGCACACGGACATCGAAGTGGGAACTAACTTGGTAACTGATTGATTGATGTGTGGGGTTCAACGTCCCAAAACCACTATATGATTATGAGAGACGCCGTAGTGGAAGGCTCCGGAAATTTAGACCACCTGGGGTTCTTTAACGTGCACCCAAATCGGAGCACACGGGCCTACAACATTTCCACCTCCATCGGAAATGCAGCCGCCGCAGCCGGGATTCGAACCCGTGCCCTGTGGGTCAGCAGCCGAGTACCTTAGACACTAGACCACCGCGGCGGGGCTAACTTAATTACTGAGTAGCATTTAGCAAGGAGATTTTTCACATGGCAGGGGAATACGCTGGTAGTCTACCAATATTAGCGCTAGTTTTGTTTAAAGTTTTCTCACCATCGAGTGATTCAAAACGCCATTCTTAATGGAGCAGGCTTCGCTCTATGCAAGACTATTAGGCTCTGGGTAGTATGAGGCACTGCGCAGATGCGTTATGTTGTTTTCCTTGATAAGCTGGGCGAACTGCTCACTCACGAAGTGGGGCCGGTTATCTAACGCAACTGTTTGCGGCAGGCCAAAACGAGAGAACTATTCGCGCAGTCGAGTGATCGTACCTTCGGTGGTTACCGACCTGACCTCGACTGCCTGACGAGCACACAATCAGCAGCATGCGTCTCTCAATCGACATGGCATAATAGCTTTCAATAGCTGCCAGCGGCTTCTGAAGCCGTGACAATCATTTAATTTTCGGCCCGAGTGTGCTTGCTTTTTTTTTCGAGCTGCGTCTGCTGCTCTGCGCGATTTCGGATGCCATAAACGATGTGGTCTGCTACATACGGTCAAGGCTGGTGCCAAAGTTACACGTTCTGCTAGCTTGCGGAGCTCCACAAGGTAGTCTCGCACAGATTCAGTAGCAGTTTGATGCCTAGTAAAGAACTTATAACTTGCGGCAACCTTGTCACACTTTGGCGTATATTGAGCATTTAGAAGGAGAGCTCTTGCTGGAAACTCAACTGACTTACATTACAGAAAACACAGTGACCCGCACAGAACGTAAACCACCTTCGCCGATAGCGTTAAAATCAACAGCCACCTCTTCTTAACCTCCTTATTCATATCAATTGATTCAAAAAATTTTCTAGCTGAGTCAAGTAAATCTCCCACTTATCTTGATTTTCGTTCAAACTTTAGATGCTGAGTCTCTTAGCCATGACCATGACCATCGACCTTCCATGGTGGTGGTTACACATTCGGCGCCAAGAACCCAGAGATGCCATCCTCGTCGCCACTGTTGTGGAGGACGACAGAGTGATGAGGCGGGCCATGAACACCCGCAGGACGGCTTTGTTTGATCGACAACGAAATATAGATATAAGCTGCTTGCCTATGACGTAACATGAGACAGCGGGACCATATTTGACCAGCTTTGGAAGTGCACTATCCCGAAACTGCCACATCAGTTTAATATGGACCTCATCGTGGTTCGTGACCGCTTAGTTCGATGACTCACTCAGCAGGTGCGGACAGAGCGACAGACAAATGAACGGATGGACAGACAGACGGACACACGCGCAGACGCATGGACACACGGTGAACGGATGGGCGGAAGCAAAAGCAGACGGATGGACGCACGCACGGACGGACGGAAGCAAGAACTAAACGGACGCACGGGCGGACGAATGGACGCTTCGCCCCACTCATTATCATTCACTCCGTTGATATGCTGTGATATTTTCTGCTTTCTTTTTCACACCGAGTGACATGCGGCCACCTGTGGCCAGTGCCACGCAACAGTGTGAAGTCACTTGTAAAGAGAGGCAAATATTTTGGTTGTTGTATCTACACTAACCAGTAAAAAATTATAATCTATTGATTGCTCGAAGAGCTGATAGATCACCCAGCACAACTGCTCAACTTTCTATTAAAATTTTGAAGTATCTTATCAGGAAACCAATGAATCCTCACTGCGAGGGCGGCTTCTGTTCATGAATTTTGTGTCTAACGATCAAGAAATTGAAACAAAAGTGCTTCGCTAGCTCTAAACTTTTTGCCTGTGTTTTACCAATTCTGACCAAAGTTTGGCAGCCCCGTCACGGTGGTCTAGTGGCTAAGGTACTCAGCTGCTGACCCGCTGGTCGCGGGATCGAATCCCGGCTGCGGCGGCTGCATTTCCGATGGAGATGGAAATGCTGTAGGCCCGTTTTCTCAGATTTGGGTGCGCGTTAAAGAACCCCAGCTGGGCGAAATTTCCAGAGCCCTTCCCTACGGCGTTTCTTATCATCATATGGTGGCTTCGGAAGGTTAAACCCTACATATCAATCAATCAGTTGGGTAATTGACATCGGAATCACAGGCAGAGACAATGTGCGAAACATCAATGTGTTTCGATGTGTGCACATCAATTAAAAAGTTGAATCACCCCTGGTTCGCCTTGCCGCGGTGGTCTAGTGACTTAGGTATTCGGCTGCTGACCCGCAGGTCGCGAGATCGAATCCCGGCTGCGCTGGCTGCATTTCCGATAGAGGCGGAAATGTTTTATGCCCGTGTGCTCAGATTTGGGCGCACGTTAAAGAACCTTAGGTAGTCAAAATTTCCGGAGCCCTCCACTACGGCATCTCTCATAATCATATGGTGGTTTTGGGATGTTAAACCCCACATATCAATGAATCACCCCAGTCTAGCATCTCGAGGGTCCTCTTTCATATCTCGTGCTGCCTTTTGTTACTGGGCAAACCAAACGTGCCGTTTGGTGGTCCCTAGTAAACAGAACCACCCACCATCGCGCAAAATTGTCCGGCATTATGGTCCTTACCATAACACTATTCAGGCCCTAGAAACTCGGCGCTAGGCCTGGTTTTAGAAAACATGTGCTCTCGTAATGGTTTCCGGACAGCCTAAGATCTGTTCGAACAAAGGGTGGTTATTGTCGATGCTCGCATTTATTAATTTTCGCCAGTTTTTACAAAGAAAGAAATTTGATTTAACTGTAAAGAACCTATAGTTTGTTGATTTCTCTTATTCATTTTGTGAATTTGAACCGAAAGAAGCGCGGGAACACGTGTTCAGTTCTCGCCTTCACCCCCCGCCTCCCTACTTGCCATTTGCTTAGCGATATCAAATGTTGTATTCCGCTCGGTTGTCTCGCTCGGCTAGCGTACCAAATATGAACGGTATGAATGCGGTAAATATTGCTATGTTCCTTTCCTCAAGTTTTGTTATCATCCCGTTACACTACGTTCAGCGCAAACCACGCCAACAATGTTCGAAAAACTTCGAAGCTGCAGTAGATCGTTTTGTTAAGATTACGCCCACTTCTTAAACATTACAGATTAATCTGCAACCTATGGCGCCGTTAGCGATATAATGCTATAGAACATTCCATGGCAAGTGTATAAATGCCGACGCGCTTCGCCGCTTGTCAGTTGATAGACGGCCGACGCTCTGCTCGCCGCTATCAGCACCAGTGTATTGCTGCGATCTGGCTTTCCTTTTACGTGGCCACGAGTTAGGCCCGGATAAACAGTTTATTATCTGACCATCCAGTCTCCTTTCAGCCACGTGACGACCCCGTGACAATAAAAGACATTTGATTTGGCGTGCAGGAACGGAAGCCGCAGTAAGCCTCGTCAATCAGGTCAACCATGCGTTAGATGAAGATGGATAAATCGTGGCCTCAGATGTTTTGCGCAACTCTACAGCGTGTTAACCCATAAATTTGCAGTTCCGCGAGGTTCTTCGAGGTTGCCGAGTGACAACGGGTGAGCACGAGAGCTTGTGTCAGTTTTTTTAGCAGTTTTTTTTTCATTCTGCATAACTGCATGAGTAAACGCAGTTCTCTGCAAGCCTGTATGAACTGGCTTAAGCGCAGTGTCACTAGACTAGTTTGTGACAAAGAGAGCCTACCTACTCCTGACAAAATGTTTCATGAAAGGCTTGAATGCGTATTGATCCGGCTACAGTTTTTGTTGATCGTTTACTATCAAGTAGTGGAAATAATATAAAGCAATTATATCCTCTTTTCTATTCATGGGAAGACATATAGTCAGTTTGTGAACGTGGGGTCCTTTGCCTCAAATACTGCCAATGAAATATGTTTAATGAACTCGCTGGAGCCAACGTGTTTACTTCGGACATTTCTTCCTAAAGGTGGTGGCTGCCTTGACGAAACAAGTGATCTAGTATTGTCCAGGGGCGTTCGCTGTTCAACGGTTTCTCACTGGTTTCTCTACAGTGGAAGCGGCGCTGCCGCAGCGAATCACCATGCAAGAGCGCGTCCCATGAAATGTATGTGTAGTTCACTCCCCCTGCTTTCATTGTTTAAAAATAACGCAGTAGATTCATATAGAAAGCGCCGCAGCCATCAGCTCGTTTCGTACTGCGCAAGCGTTTCAGCACGCCAACGATGGCCTATGTGGCACAATGGCACTGCTTTGCGCCAGCCTATGAAACTGCCCCATAGCATGACGGCGAAGCTTCGTGACCATAAGTAACATTCAAACACTCTGCCAATACCTATAACGTGTGCATCTTAGCAAGTGTCATGGATTAAAATCAAAAGAAACACCTAAGTAAGGTGGGCTTTCAATATTAGCTGAATGTTTATTGGAACGAAACCGTTGAAATGTGTAAACAAGGGCAGAACGCGTTAAGTCACTCAGACGGTGCTACTAACGTAGATACGTGCATTGTCGCTTCATATAAGCTTGTATTTCGCGTATATGAAAACAGTGATGTTGCGCTCACACATTTATAAGTCGCTATACTCGTGCAGTATGCCACCAAGATTCCGCGAACTTGCGGAGCTGCAAAGCTGCTACAAAGGTCATTGCCACGAGTTTTATTCTATGCCTGACTTTGAAGACACCCATTTCCTGCACATCTTTGTGGCTTAGCAAACTCGCGAATTAAGTGAAGCATACTGCATCAGTATAGAAGCTGAATAACTCTCATCTGTTTCTTTTCATGTGTCCTGTTTTGTTGCACTCTCAACAGATAAGTGTGTGATTACACACCGTGATTGCAGGGAGCTGGGTTAGTAGCACCGTCTCCACCTTGATTTGATTTGATTGATATGTGGGGTTTAACGTCCCAAAACCACTATATGATTATGAGAGACGCCGTAGTGGAGGGCTCCGGAAATTTAGACCACCTGGGGTTCTTTAACGTGCACCCAAATCTGAGCACACGGGCCTACAACATTTCCGCCTCCATCGGAAATGCAGCCGCCGCAGCCGGGATACGAACCCGCGCCCTGCGGATCAGCAGCCGAGTACCTTAGCCACTAGACCACCGCGGCGGGGCACCGTCTCCACCTTTTGCGGTCTGTGTGTGTTTTTATATTTTCATCGTTTTATTTCAGTAAACTCTCAGCAGATGTCTAGCGTTTGTCCTATTCAAATGTATTTTTATTTGCATTTATTCGGTGGTGCTTCCTCTGCTGCACAAGTTATACACATAGTAATTTAGCCCGAATTTCTGCGTTGAACGTTATACTAAATAGATAGAAACTGCACAATGGGATGTTTGGCGAACTCATTTGTAACTTTCTCATTGAATTTTCTCGCCCGACTTCACTACTTCATTTTAGTTAATGAAACGTGGCGAATAAGGCCGTAATACAGAACACGAAGAAAGTGGAACGTACTTCAAAGAAAAGCCAGCAATATAAATTTGGTAGCACTATCATGCAGTGCGTCGGCCTATGTTCAAGCTCTCGTTACAGATAGCTGAATTATTCTCTATACATATTAGCCCTAGGAATGAGTGGCTGAGTTGTTTATTGGGTCAAACCCTCGCCTTCGACACACGTCGCACTAGCACCTAAACGCAGCACCACAATTATATTCATTTTGTTTTTATTTCTTTAAATTGGTTTGTCTTACGGGACAGAAGCACGAGTGAACTGAAATAGAATTCTCGTTAAGTGGGCATGAAACTCGTAATACATGAAAGAAAAGTAATCTTCGCAGAAACTGAAGTAGGAGTAATGCTCGAGTGCCGAGTTTTACAGTTGGAAAGGGGGGAGATACTGGTTTTATAATTTCTCAAAATATGCTTTGAGCTAGCTGGTTCATATTCGCAGTAAAATAGCGCCGGAGAAAACACCGACCAAATTAGCTAAACACATACACAAGGCACTTTTCCTTTTCCAAGAGATATGACTGTCCACCACGAGATCCCTCCTACTGTGTGCGCAAAACGGTACCAGAAAGAAATCGTACATTCTTATCTGAAAACACAAGGAAAGGCATGCTGGCACACGATTCTTCGAGCTTTTTTTTATCTCTAGGGCTTCAACGACCTCTCTTATTCTGTCAGCTGATTTGTACATGACGCCAGTGCTTTCAAATCAAGGTGCGCAACAACAATCTCTGCACTGAACACCTATATCTCTTGATACCAGCTTCGTCGTGCTGTAATGCTGCGTTTTTAATCTATAGTTTAAGCATGTTCCAGTTTTGCCCAAGTATGACGCACTGCAAGACTAAAGTATTATGTTAACCACATTTTCAGTGTACTGCGCAAACCGGTCCTTTGTTATCGTTGAACTTCCATGTAGCACGTCCAGGAATTTTCGATGCGTTTAGTGGTGTTTGTGATGACCCCGTGTAATACCGTTTTAGAAACATGTCGTTCCTGCCCCGCCACGGTGGTCTAGTGGCTAAGGTACTCGGCTGCTCACCCGCATGTCGCGGGTTCAAATTCCGGCTGTGGCGGCTGAATTTCCGATGGAGGCGGAAATGTCGTAGGCCCGTGTGCTCAGATTTGGGTGCACGTTAAAGAACCCCAGGTGGTCAAAATTTCCGGAGCCCTCCGCTACGGCGTCTCTCATAATCATATGGTGGTTTTGGGACGTTAAACCCCACAAATCAAATCAATCAAACATGTCGCTCTTGAGAAGTGTCCGCGAAGCAGTGTCATAGCCAAGAGCGCTCGCTCTTTACTCATTCATACAAGAGCATAATAAGTAGGACCCACTATCCCGATCTGCTTAGCTCACAAATCTGGCGCATGCAAGCCGACTGCGGCAGGCACTCCTGTGATGAGTACGCAGGGCTGGGTCACCCCACCGAAAGGGATGGTTTCAGGCATAAGCAAACTGAGCAACCTAAAGATGCGCAAGTCGCATGCTTTCAGCGCTGTCTAACTGGTCATGTGAGATGGCGATGCTTTGCACGTCATTCAACAAATCTAGAACGTTGAGGATACTGCTTCGACCCACAGCTCTAAGCAGTAGCAGTGTGTCGCAGCCAACGGCTGTCAATATCTGGAGCCTGGATGGCTGCCTTGAAGATGCAATGAAATAACATAAAGCTAATAAGTCAGTCGTCGTTCCCTACGCCCATATTGCAGGCGTAGTCCTCTGGAATCAACGATGAAAATTCAAGCATTATCGTACCTGTTCTTGATGTTTTATCGTAAATCTCTAATTGGTGACGAGTTGCTGCAGCAAAATAGTGTTAAGCAGATTAAGTTCCGTAATTGCGAATGACATCAAACAACATAATAAAATCTGAAGGTAGCGTTCGCTTATGAATAATCTTAAATATGAAATCGAAGCGCCAGCGATATGCTTGTTTGCCTAGTATGTCAGGGCCAATGTTTCTTGACTACGATATTCATGCAGGCAAGGGGGTTCAACTACTCTTTTCTTCAATAGGCTGCCGCCTTCATGAACACTCGGAGGCAACCCTTTTCGGGAAGAAAACAGACTCCATACCTGTGCCGGGAAAACACGGAAGAGCTGGCAGCCACGTACGCCCTTGCATGCGCCGTCAGGAGACCTTCACCAACTTGGAAGAAACGAACCACCAGCAAAAGCAGCTGGAGGCCGTGTTGACACCTTTTTGAAGAATGTTCGTGGAACCTCGTAGAAGACCGACGTCATTGTGCATCGCATCGATCTTGGCGAAACCCCACCTTGACTTTCGTCTTGCTACTGAGTACTCTTGCGACTTAACACCGCTCAAGCAGCTAAAGCAAGCCATTCTCGTTAAATCTCTGGACAAGATTATTGACATGGAGACCATGTGACCCCTGAAGTGTTCATGGGCCTTCCGGGTCGTACTGAATCCAAAAGAAGCTGGTATGACACGTCTTTTTTCACTATTTTGGACAGGAGGAAGCTTTCGCAAGCGCTCCCAATGTACAGACGTCTGCACCTTTAACTCGAACGCTCCGACGCGTAACGTCGGCTAGCTTGGACTGAGGTCAGCGCCGCCAAGCGTTAAATGTATTATGCTTGCTGTAGATAACGACAGATGGAGCGTGCATTGGTTTCACTAATAAATTTCTATTTCTTGTCTGCCTAACTAGCGGGTCGAATACTCTCACTTGGCATCCTGTTTTCATCACGTTTTGCTCATGGTAATGTTATTGCCACCACCCATTTAGTTCGTTATTGCATACTTATCTCGACCATGAACCATTGCGAGCGACAGCTTAAACACCTTTTTAAATTCACAGCTGTCGCTCAAAGGAAAAAGTTGCCTGAAGTGCGGTGGAGTTGTTCGTGATGTGATTCATTAATTCTCAGACAGCTTGGTTTGAACTGTTCTCGCAATTTACAGTGTGCATTTTTGTTCGGTTCATGCTGCAGTGAAGATGTGGTCTTGAAGCGCAAGGTTTGTAGCCACTCTCAGCAAGAAAGGCGCGTGAACACAACGCTAAGAAAGCAATTTCCGCGCGTAGTTAACACGTGAAAACTTGAATTGTCATCTTATAGTCAAATAATTGTTCTGGGACGTTAACCCCATATATTATTTCACGCAGAAATCTTGCACTCCAAGAACACATGTTCCGTGCAGCGTGAACTGAACATGGAAGGCACACTCTAAATGGCGAAAACAGTTGTGTTCACTCTGCCTGAAAGTAATCAGAACATGAATGACGCCACCGCATTTCAGATCTATTCATGGTGCAATTTTTACAAACGCCAGAAACGTGCGCTTTCTCTGCATTTATACATGTGATTCCTTTTGATAAGCAGCTGCCAATACCAAGTCGAAAGTTGCGTAAGCTGTCGCACGCAATGGCTCATTGTCGATATAAGTATACGACAATGAACGGCATGGGTGCGTGTGATAACGTAGCCACGAGCGAAATGCGGTGAAAACGGTATGCGACGGGAGTGCATTCGATCCACTGGTCAGGCAGACTGGAAACAGAAATTTACTAGCGAAACCATCTATCGTTAACTGCAGCAAGCATATCATCTTCAACGCTTGGCGGTACTGACCACATTCCAAGCGAGCCAATGTCACACTTTGGAGCGTTCGAGTTAAAGGTGCTTACGGCTGTACACTGATGATAAGTTTGCTTCGTTGTTCTGCTTAGGATGCGTGTACTTTACTTGTGACGGGAAGACGACGTCATCTGTTTTTAGTTGCGAAGCATTTTCTTTACTGACTGCAAGAACTTTTGGCGTCTATCTGCTTATTTTTGTATCTATGTAACCATTTAAGTCTGGGTGATCTCATGATCACCCTTAACGTCAACCAAAACTAGTATGAGAGGGTAAGCTGGCTTAAAAAATATGACGCACTGGTCAATACCTGAATAATGCCACGATCCCGTCGCGTACGTCGTCAAGCACTTCCCGTCACACAGTAGCCCTAACCTGCAGACGTGTATGCGCCACTGGTATGCGGGTATGTTGCACAAGTGATTGACACTTTGTAACTGCACAGGAATTGCGAGAACAAACATGGTCAATTTTAACGCGTGAGCATTAACGAAAACCTCACATCGGTAGCGTTAACCCGACGAACGCCAGGAGTAAATGCCAGAGTCCCAGTAAGAATCGAACTCTAGCATTATGCGTGTCAATCAAGCATTCCACCAGAGATCTATCACAGGTCTCGGAACTACATTCAAATGTTCGTGAAACGACAATTACAGTTGAAGTGCTGACTATCCCATTTAATAAACATCGCGTATGTACTGCTACGATATAGTCGGCTCACTGAGCTGACGTCAATTGTTGCCATGCGCTGAAGTTGATTTATGTGGCAGTGTCAAAGGCTACCATCCTCGCGAGCCCCAGTGCTTTATATCAGCTCATTGCTTCTGTTGTTGCTTATACTCTTGTTCTCGTTGGAGTCGCTGTACAATATACATCTATAAATATGCTACATATATTTAGCGTAATTAATTTTATAACGTATCGCCCAACAAACAAATTACAATACGGTCAGCTTCCCTCCGCATCTTAGCATAACTTCGATTCCCAAGGTACGTCGCAATAAAAAAAATATTCTATTTTCGGCTGTTATGATTGTGCTACAGTGGTTGAATTAATGTGTGAGTGCTCTCTAATGGGTCAGTTTTAAAGCGCCCGCTCCTCGCACAATTCACTTATTTTTGACGCCTCACCGTATTCTATGCTTCTGCTACGCTATATATAATGCAGAAGGAGAAAAACTGGAGAGGAGCCAAGCCTGGTGGCAAGGCATTTCAGTTTCACTGATGTGAAACCTGGGGAGAGGTGCAGGACACAGTATGTTTTTGTTTAACGCGCATGCTGCGAATATTTATTGTTCAAACTAATTTTCTAACAGGCATTTCATTGCAGGTGTGGCTGATGAACAGTTGTGCAGTGCGAGCAGTCGGTTTTTTCAATCAAGAAACCTGCTAGCAGTGGCTGCTTGCCTCGGCGTTATTTTTCGCGGGTGAGCCTTCGTTCTCGTTCCTTGTGACCTGGTAGACCAGCATTCACCGCATAAAGCGTGCTTCTCTAGCCAACAAGCACCGATAGCTTTCTCTCGTCAAACAGCGAGCGCTAGTGTAGTGGCGCCCTCACCTGCGCTCATCAAATGGACCATCGCGAAATGACGATGAATGCCAACACGCTGAAACCCTAAAGTCATTCGCCCCTAAAATAGACGTTAACTATCGTACTTCGTGGAAAGTTTCAGAACTAAATGTTTTGACAGCTTCACGTCACAGTGAAATCTGATCAAAGCAAAAGAGATGATGTTTCAAAAAATCTTTGTGCCATTGCCTGTTTCAACTTCAGCGCATGCGCCTCAGCCTGCAAAAATGAAGCTTAACAGAAGGTATACGCCAAGAAGAGGGCCTTTTATTGTTACGTGTGATGCCGTGTGATGGCCCATCTTCCAGTTTCAGACAAACGCCTGAACGAAGTCTTGCAAGAAGCTGAGAAAGACTCAACCATGCGTCAACATCTGGTACAATAACGAAAATGACGTCTCTGCAGAGTTGTGCGCCTTCTGGAACTTTCGTGGCAAACTACACGCAAAAAAAAAAATGAATGGTGGTACGCAGCAACAAGCTCTTTATGCCTTAGGAGAGATGTGAGGTAACATTCTTGTCAGCATACTGCGCACGCGGGATGAGAAAACAAATCAGTTTTACCGCATTGGCGAAGCAATGAATGGGGTAGCAGTGTACTGTAATGTTATACGAAATGTGAATAGCAGCCAACTCATGTCATGTCTCATGCAACTCTACTAAAGGCCGGTGTAACACAATATGGCCGCTTCAGGGACACTTTTCACACTGTCTCTTTACAATGAAAGCACCGCACGTAGAAAGGTGGACGAGCCGCTTTCTGAAGTAGCGCGCGCGCCAGCGATGCCGAGTGCACCCATATATTCGAACAGTGAAAGTTTAGTTTCTCCTTGAGTGCCCCGCCCCCATTCTCCTAGTGCATTTTCATGCTCGTTAAAGACAGGGCGCAGCGTTTCTCTCTGCTTGGACGGCACGCCTCGCGAGCAGCGTAGGCGTTATCATACGCGCCCTCAGAGTGATGGAAATGGGTCGGCTCGTTTGATCTCTGCTTGACCGTGTTGGTCACCCCCGCTCGCGCGCTTAAGACGTTCGTGCGCGGGAGGATGTTATCAATGTGGACTTGCATAGAAAATGACGGTGACTCCACACAGCCTTCGAGAGTTGTCGTAAGACTACTATCGCAATAAAATGAAGCCACGTGTTTGTTTCTGTCTCTTTTGACTAGGCATGAATAGTGACGCTAAAGAAACGGCGCAGTATTTTTGATTTCGCGAGTGGTATAAACTATGTAGCACTTTTGATATCATAACGGTGATTAGTATTTCGATGTTGTTGACTTTTAATTCTCTTTTTTTAAGCCAGGTCTGTACAGTCTTGATCAGCGTGCAAAATGATATCCGCCTTCACAAATACATTAACGACGCATGGTTTCCCAAGCCGACTCGTTACAGGCAACAGACCACCAATCAAGCAGCCAACAGTTTCAAAAGTTCATCGCTAAGATTGATACAAATCATGTCTTATGAATTTCAGAACCCACTCACCCGAACGAAATTCTCTATAAATCAATGCAGCAGATTAAAAAAAACTGACTAAGACGTATCTATTTGGTTCTGCGTACTTTTTTGACTTCTTACTAAAGTGGTATAACTCTTGGAATGACAGTTTTTGTCTCTTTCGCAGTAGCTCGTGGGACGGCTCATGAGGACCATTTTATCGGGTCCCGCTACTTTCCTGCATCCTCGGACGGTGCCATCAAAGAATGCCCAGTCCAGACATCTTTCGCAATGCACTTTTTACAACAGAGTTTCAAGGCTATGCCTAGGCTGCCACTGTGTGCCAGAGAGTGTATAACTCCCTCAGTAACATGGTCGTCGGCTCGAATTGCCAAGATAGCGGACGTCCCGTGGACGCACCTGAAAGCGAGGATGGACACTTCCAGTGGACTTGAGCAAACATGACACCACACACACCCATCGGGTAACAGGCAGAGGCACCGGTCCCTCCAGTCGCCGGCGGGACGATTGGGTCTGCCATGCAAGAACCATTACCGAGAAGCCATGCAACAGGATACACTAAGCAAGCTCTTCATTAAACCTTCAGGCATTGGTTCAATAAAGAAAAAAACGCAGATGTGGCGTAAGGGCGACGTTGTGTTAAGTCATGAACGCGCTTCAGATCAGCATTGAATGGCCCTCAGCATGGCGGCTATATAAAATACGGCTACCTGGAATAACGCATTCTTTACTCAACCCGGAGTTGTCTCGAAATCACTACAGCTCATAAAGCAGATTGATCGCTCAGCACGGATGATCGATTTTGTGTTCATCTGCGCGAAAAATTTTCACAAGAAGTCAATGTCATTACTGCAAGGGCTGCTTCTGTAGAATGGCTTCGTCGAACAGGCTGAACTGATGAAACTCTGGTGTTTTGCTTTTATTCGCCGACTCACTACAGCTTCTGAACAAGATTTAGGCCACTGAAATTGGAATCGCAGGGAGCGACAATGATTGAAGTATCAATATGTTCGTGCACATAAATTAAAAATAAAAATAACTACCGCCTAATGGCGATAGGGCCCAGTTGCTCGATAAAACATATGCGGCTTTTTGTTGTTCTATTCTAATCCGATTGATTAGCACTGATTGGATTACTTGATCGGCGCTGATTACTGATAGGCAGGTGAACAGCCACACTCCTGGTGAGTGAGAAAAATAATGCAGCAGTGGCTCAAAAAGTAGCCCGACCATAAATTTGTGTCACAATGCGCAAGCGCTACGACATGCAAGCGATGCCCTTTGTGGCACAGCGGCGCCGCAGTGCGACAGCTTTAGGCAGAGTATTAAGCAGCCCCAATGCGTGACTGAAGTTTCGTGACATAAAAAGTGATAAAGGACTGTGGCAGCACGAAGCATTGTCAGGTTGGTCGAATAACTATTCTTACTATCATACGATCACTAGAACTCGTTCAATACCGACAGAAATTAAGTCCACCAAAAGGAAGTTCGGAACGATTACGTCGGAAGATAACTCTTATACGTGTGGAAGGGCCATCGCTGCAATGTGGAAAATCAGGGAAAAATTGCCAGAACAGCATGAAATGCAGAGCGTACTCATAACGAAACTTGAGAGAGCATCCTTTCTAGAGTATGTTTCAGACATTTTTGTGGCAACTAATACCAGTATACATGCAAAGTAATTATCCTAAATCATCGTATTACTTAAGCAGTAGGGATACACCGGCCAAACCATTATTGGTCATTCTGAAAAGAAGCGTGGTACCTATTACATATCTCTAAAGCATTAGGCAAAGTTGCTGAAGGCTTATGCATTAGCGTTTTGTGATGGGTTCAAAGCATTCAATGACCCCGTTCGCGCTTTTTTACATTCGCTAGCCCTTTGTTATTTCTTCCCCTACCACGCTAAATGACATAAATTAACGCAATTCCTTCCTCGGCCTCATCTTTGTACAGTTTCAACAGGTTCATTTTGCGAATGTGTTGCAAGTACCAGCTCGGCGCTGTGACAGAACACTTGCCTTCCACTCAGAGGACCTGGGTTCAAACCCCACAGGCTTTTGTACCTTTCTTTTTTTTCTTATTTCGTGCGATAGCGGTTACAAATTCTAGCGGGTGAGCGAACGAACAAGTATGGCGCCAAAATAAGCTGTTGTGCTCTCATAACATCTTTCGCATTAAACGTAGAGCTTTAATCTGGCTTTAGGGGTCCAAATAATTGCAATGCTCTACGGCTAATTTTGCTGTGATTCAAACGCATAAGAAAACTTTTAGTTCGGAAGGTGCCTCTTACATCCATAGTATGCACATCATTGAAAGGCGCTGACGTCAGAAAAAAGTTGAGCCTTATCGGGCTTCATAAGGGTCAAAACATTTTGATCGGTTTTTGACGTTAAGTGTGGCGAAGCAAACGCACAGGGGAGCTTTTAGTTCGGAATATAGTTTGTTACATGCTTTGTATGTCCTCTGGGGAAAGGCGTGACGTCAAGCAAAAGTTGAGCCTTATCGCGGCTGATAAGGGCTGAAACTTTTTTGACGGATTTTCGACGTTGAGTGCAGTGAAGCCAGCATGCAGGGGAGCTTTCAGCTTTAAAGCTGTTTGTTACACGCTTAGTAGGTCCACTGGTGTAACACCTGACGTCAGACAAAAGTAGAGCCTTATCGCGAGTGATAAGGGCGAAACTTTTTCGACTGGTTTTTGACGATTAGTGCAGTAAAGCAAACGCATAGATAATTTTTTAGCTCGGATGATAGTTGGTTACATGCTTTGTATGTGCTCTGGGTAAAGGTGACGTCAGACAAAAGTTTAGCCTTATCGGAGCTTATAAGGCCCGAAACTTTTTCGACTGGTTTTCAACCATTAGTGCGGTGAAGCTAACGCACAAGAATCTTTTAGCTCGGAATATAGTTGGTTACATGTGTTGGATGTCCTCCGGGGAAAAGCATGACGTCCGACAAAAGTTGAGCCTTATCGGAGCTGATAAGAACCGAAAAAATTTTGACAGCTTTTCGACGTTTAGTGCGGTGAAGCGAACGCACAGGGGAGCTTTTATCACGAAAGCTGTTTGTTACAAGCATAGTAGGTCCACTGGTGCAATGCGTGACGTCACACAAAAGTTCAGCCTTATCGGGGCTGATAAGGGCCAAAATTTTTTTGAGTAATTTCTGGTGTTTAGTGGGGTGAAGCAAAAGCACAGGGGATCTTTTAACTCGGAAAATAGTTGGTTACATGCGTTGTATGTCCTCTCGGGAAAGGCGTGACGTTATACAAAAGTTGAGCCTTATCGGGGCTGATAAGGCCCAAAACATTTTTGACTGCTTTTCGATGTTTAGTGTCGTGAATCAAACTGACAGGGGAGCATTTAGCTCGGAATATAGTTGGTCCCAAGCGTTGTATGTCCCCTGGGGAAAGGCGTGACGTCAGACAAAATTGAGCCTTATCGGGGATGATAAGGGTCGTAACTTTTTCGACGGTTTTTTGACGTTAAGTGCGTTGAAGCCAACACGCATGGGAGCTTTTGGCTCGGAATATAGTTGTTTAGATTTGTCATGTGTTCTCTGGGGAAAGCTGTGACGTGAGACAAAAGTTTAGCCTTATCAGTGCTGATAATGCCTGAAAGCTTTTCGACTAATTTTTGACGTTTCGTGTGGTGAGGCTAAAAAGTAGGAGAGAGCTTAGTTGGGAGTGTAGTTGCTTACCTGCGCTGAGTATCCACTGGGAAAAGGTGAGACGTCAGACAAAAGTTTAGTCTTCTCGAGACTGATAAGGGCCGAAGATTTTTTTACTGCTTTTTGACTTTTATTCTGGTGAAGCTACATAGGAGGTCGTCTATCTTTGAAGGATACTCATGCATGCCCAGTAGGTTCATTGCCCCAAGTTGTCCACCAACACAAGATATTGAAATTTTAACATGCTGATGACAGTGTCAACGTATGCTGATGAGTGTGAGCTTTATAAGAACATTGCATGCCTTCAATACCATTAACATCTTAATCATTTGACAGTGTATTGCACCCGCTATGGCGCCTTGCGCAAAGGTGCGTGCGATGAGCTTTTATTTATGTATTAATGATGTTTCACTGTTCTGACCTAACAAGCACGCGTACCAAGCGAGACGTCCCTAGAAAGTATGCATAGGGAGGTTCGCTTTAATAAATGAACAACTATAGTTCTTAATAGGAACACTAGATTCAAACACTTGTTTGTGGAGTTATTGCATATATCTATTATATTTAGGCAAAGTTACATGTAAGGTTGGCGGGCACATTATAGCGTAAGCTGAGCACACGTCATATATCTTTTATAGATACAACTCTTATTTATTCAATTTTTTTTCTTGCAGCCCTTTCTTATACGACGCGTAATTACACCTCACGCATCCCACTCTTTTAAACGAAACTGCAAATTTTATTTACCCATAAAAACCCGTGTGGCGTAGGGTGCAACACCCTCCTTTTTCATGCTTTTCAGTCCCCGAAAGAGCAGGGCTGGAGAGTCAACTTACCTCTCTCAAAACTGACAGCTGGTGAACAGGGACTGGCAGGCTATTATGGTGGTCTGAAGGAACGAGGCCAACCAACACTTGAGCGCCCAAACACCTTTTTGTGCTCTTGAAATAACGCTAAACTCTAATTTTCCATACCTCTCTCTATCCCAATGAGCCTTACGCCTTGCGCACAATACCCAGCCTAGCCATTATGAATTAGCTTTGCCTAAAGCTTACCATTGCTATATTGAGCAATCTTATCTATTCACCTCACACTGACGGCTCAGCATCTGAAGACCAATTCAACCCAACAAGATAACCATTTTACATTTTTTGTACAGCTAGTTGCCAGTAGGCTTAGAACACCCAAGTTCGTATGTTCTAATTGGTATTTCACGGTGCGTGATGACAGCAAAATAAACTTATGGGCTCACCAAGAATAAAGCTTGCAATAATATCTCCATCTCATAAAAGATCTCCGGCCGTCTCAAGTGATAGGAGTACACATACGCAACGTTGCCATTGCAAACCTCTGGGGAGTTGGCCAGGGATGTCAATTTTTAAAGAAACAACCGTAGTGGTGCAGTCGTCATGCTTCTGAATGAAACACTGCTTATACTCATGTTATCCAACAAATACGAAATAAAATAAATGTGAAAGTGTGGAGAGGTTGGTTTCATAAAAATATTTTTTATTCATTTGTCGCGGATCGCGATATTTCTGCAAGACACCCGGGCCTTCAAATTCGGCACTGCATGCTTTGTCCAGCGACATGTCCATTCGTCGAAATAGTCCATCGATGTCCTCCAACAGATACGCGCTCACAGAAACAGCCGTTGCATTCATGTTTGGTACACGCTTTTGGTCTTTGCTTCAGGTTAGCATAGAGTAGTCCATATATCTAAGCAGCCATAAAAAGGAAGTATATTATCTTTGGCATTCAAACGAATGGTTTACTACACAAGGCGGAACTATTAAACGTGTAGTGGGGCATCAACAAAAAACATAGTTCATCACAGCAAATGGACGATAACAACAAAGGAAAGCCACAAGTATTGCGGGACTTCCTCTTAAAGGAATGTGGGCGAAACAAAGCCGTAACTGTTGGCCAGTTTTCTGCCTTATGTAACTGTCCTTCGATAAACCATACCAGATAATTACAAATATATGTGCGTTTGTACATCTTAATTACAAAAACTTTGAACGTCTGACTAGGCGTCCTTCAAGCTTCTGGCACAGTTTCTTCAATAAACCTGCAAGAAAAAAATGAATCAGGTGAGTAACCGAATGAAATACGTTGCGATTATGGCTGCGAGTACTAACTGAGCCACTTAGTTCTGCACACACACACACACACACACACACACACACACACACACACACACACACACACACACACACACACACACACACACACACACACACACACACATATATATATATATATATATATATATATTTATATATATATATATAAAGAGAGAGAGAGAGAGACTTTATATAAAAAGAAAGAGAATTAGGGTGATCTTGGAGCTTCTATGATGGGTGACTACGTCCACGTTTAAATCTTGCCTTAGCCACCCGTTGTAATTTAATCAGGAGCACGAGCTGCTCTCCCGAGTCTGAACTGGCGAGTTTAGCCCTCCACTTCTCCATACTAGGGCTTAAAGGTTTGCCGAGCGACTTGGCTATGTCACTTGTCTTACGATCGCAACACAACGAGATGTGGTAGAGAGTTGGCGTGTTGCCGCACCATGAACACACAGCCGTCTAAAGCATTGTATGTATAACGTATAATTTCAATAGATGTGGAGATAAGTCTTTGCAAAGTTTTCGAAGGTCGGCAGCCTTTTTTTGGCGGTTCCACGTTTTTGTAGCATGAAGTACTGGTGAGTCAGAATTTCCCTCGGTAGGGTTGATACGTTCAACTAAAGAGAGGGATTTTCACTCGGTTACGAAATGCGCTAGCTATACCAAATCACACTAGACTGCCCTTGGGGGCAGAAGTCGCCCCTTTTGCATTACGCTAATAGAACCTGGACAATCGTAGACGGCTTTCAGTGTTTCTGTTACGTTCATGGGAGCCACTTGCCGAATTCACCCGCATTACACCGTAAATGTAATGTACGTAGATTATTAAAACAAACGCATCTACTTCCTTTGAAGCCTTCGTATCTTGTTATTCATCACGCTGTAAGCAGATTTCTCCCAGCAGAACTTGAAGGTAACGAAAGGGCGAACGCTCTGTTCACCAATAATAAAGGTGTATTTAATACATGACATCAAATCGTTGCCTTAGCACGAGTGATTTTTTTTCGATAACACTTCGTTGAACTGGAACAACCATTCAACCTCAACTTTTTATGAGATTATGTACATCTCAGTCTCTACTGCGTTGGTTGGCACTGTCTAAAGCGAAAACATGAGGGCATCGTAAAGGCTTTTTTCGCGATTGCCTCTAGCATTATTGGCAAAAGCTCAACTCAATTGCAGTATCGATAGAGCCACTTGGTTAAGTGGAATGACCTTCTGTCGAGGTACACAGAAGGAAAACTTACGTCACAAAAGCTAGTGCTTACCTGGGACTAGTCTTCAACTCGTAGATGTGCAAGTGTTCTTCAAAAGCGTGAGGGCCAAAACCACGACCAGTAAGCTCTTTCTTGCGGTGATCTCCGTTGAACCACCTAGAAAACAAAAATGTTTTGGAAACTTAAAAGCTTATCTTTCAATACGTCTGTGCAACTGTGGGGCAGCTAGCTGGATATATATTTTTGCTCATTGTTTCACATAGAAACTGAGCGAACACATTTGTAAAGCAAGAGTACCAACATGGGCGCTGTTTCAGTACTGCAAAACCTATTCTGTTAGCAAGATTCAAGATTAAATGGCATATTACGTGAAATATTTGGAAACGCTGATGATTCTGCAACCCTAACGCACAAGTTGAATCGTGCATACTAAAAATTTAAAGAATAGGCCAACTAAATGCCGCAAGAATCAATGAGCTGTGCATAAATTAGAATTACTTTCACTCAGGTAAACCTAGGAAATTTTTTTTGCATTCATACACCACGCTGTTTTTACGGCCTCTTACCTGAGATTATACAAGAAAATATATGAAAAAGTATATCGGCTTCTCCGAACTTCCGACGTTAGAGAACATTTACTGCGAGTCTCTGTAAGCATTTTTTCCCTTGAAATTCTTATTCATTAACGAAATATCTGCACGTGACTTTCTTGAATACTAATTTCAATAAATTTTCAAACTATGCTTAGTTTTGTGCAATACCAGGTGCAGACTCAATGTATTCGTGTCGTTTTTCATGTTCTCAGATATCGTATGAAACTGAAGTGAGGTGAACATACGTACCTGTTAAATAAAGATAACCTGAAAAGAAAACACATTGTTGTTAATGATACACCATTGTGCTCTGCTCTCTATGACACTGCACAGCACAGGACACAGGTTTACACTACCTGCTTTATATAAATAAGGTGGAGATGTGGTAAAATTTCAGTATTTGGCTTCTCAATAAGCCGGTATAAGTTCTCACGATTACCAAAAAAATTCAAACGTCAGGCTTTTTCTTATTTTTTATAGATACACGTATATGTTGCTTTTTATAACTTTCAGGTGATGGTCTTGCGTATGAGAGAGCAAAGCTCATCACTTTGAACATACTTCATCCGTAAAGTGACATTTTTGTCAAAACAGGAACTTGCTGGAAGCGACACCTCATCTTCGCTGTCGTTGACATATTTCTAAAGCAATTCCAATGCGTTACGACTTAGTGGAGCGTGAAATAGCTTTTTATCTCATGGTGTACCGTTCTTAGATTGCATTGTGTGCCTTATGCAGTTATTGCACAGAAAAACTAACCCGCTGACACGTTCATTAATGGCCTGTCACTCTCATGATGACTTACTATCTTTTCTTAATATGAGCATGACAAAAACTAGAACATTATTCTTCACAAAAGCTCGGATTTTTTTAACCATATTTGACCTACTCTGACAGACTATTTATTTTTATATTGCAGTTATGAGTGACCTCATAACGTGTCCACTTCCCGGACACGTAGTATTTTGATCTAAGTAGCCAATGTGTATTAAAACATAACACGGAAGTACATTTCTTGAATGAAACTAACTAGCACGGTCTTGGCGCTAGAAACTGGCGTCTACATATACTTCATTTTATTTCACTTTTATGAGAACGGTCGTAATAGTGTCTTTTCTTTGTTCCCTTCTACGTGTTTGGGAGCACGGAGCGTTTTACAAGGTGCCTGTCAGCAGTTTTCACTGCGCATCCCGTCACTTAAGATCTACATCTAAGTTTTGTGACTAATACGCGTGAAAGGGGTGAGCTCACAAAAGCGTTATCTTCCTGATAAAGTTTGCATACATTCTTATTCACATTGATCAAGGATCAAGAAGAATGACAAAAATAAAAGAAATAATGTTGTACAGTGTGTATTGTACGCTTTCACGTAGTACTTCCGGGAGTTTCACTTAACGTGATGATAGCAGCTATCAAGATCAAATTTCCGCGGGCCTAGCACATCTTACTTCAGTATTTCAAGATCAACCAGATATTTCTGCCCTTGAGGCTCCTCGCCAATAGGCATTCAGTGTAACGCCCCATAAGACCCGCAAAACGTGTTGTGTGCCTACAGGGGTAATGGATCAGACAGACATTTTCTGAAGGCGGCATTACACCGTCAGCAAGACTGTTGGGTTTGAAAGTGCGGCTTATTCAAGGCCGTTGGCAAAGCGTCATACGTGCGTCATGTGCCACAAAAGCGCCATTGAAGTTTTTGTCTTGTGGGGCACGAGCTTTAACGAAAACTTAGCAAATAGAGCAACATCTGTGTGTGTGTGTGTATGTGTGTGTGTGTGTGTGTGTGTGTGTGTGTGTGTGTGTGTGTGTGTGTGTGTGTGTGTGTGTGTGTGTGTGTGCGTGTGCGCGCGTGTGTGTGTGTGTGTGTGTGTGTGTGTTTGTGTGCGTGCGTGCGCATGCATGGGGTATAGTATATCAGGGGAACAGTCCAGACTGGCATCTCTTGCATTTGATCAAAGCAATTTTTTGTATTTTTCTCGCATCTGCACTCTCACTTGTAACGCTCACGCACTCACCAGGACTGTAGACTGTCCTACGACGCACCTCGTAGTCGGTGCCCGGTATCTCGAGCACGCATTCGAATGTCACCGACTGCGGCAACTGCTCGGCGCTGAACGAGCGCGACAGCTCGATGTCGTACGTGCCATTTGTCTTGCGTGTTCGGGGTCTTCCGCGCTGTACCTCGGTGCGGCGCATGTCCGGTGTGATGCTGAAGAGCCGCAGAGTGGGACGCGGGTGCAGCCCCAAGGCGCCGCAGTGCACCTCCACCATCGTACCACTGCCACTGAAGCTGCCCGGACTCGTACCCGGCCCAGTGGAAGCGGTATCAGCGAGAACACCCACACGTGCACGTGCGGCGGTGCCAAGGGATGACGCGGCTGCAGGAGGTGCTGCCGGCGCTGGTGTGGTCACATATGTGAGAGTGAAGTTTTTCGCTGGCACTGCGAGGTGAACAAACGAGGGTTCGTGTGGACATACGAGTAGTAAGCGCAACACATCTCTATATCTGAAAGAACAACTATACTAACTAGCTTGATTTGCTATCCTCCTAAAATAGCTTGGTTATGCAAGGGCTTTGACTATGCATAGAGTAGTGAGTACTGAAATAAAAGAAATGCGCGCATCTCCACGAAGCGATTCATGACGAGTGGGCGAAGCTGTGGGTATCGTACTGGTCAGTATTTGTACGTTACCCGAGCGTTGCCCCATATAACGTAAATTGAGTGCCATAAAGTGTATATTCAAAAGTAACTTTATTTCACTTTCCAGTCACCTTAGACAATTCAAGGATGATTCAGAAACTTGCCAAAAGTGGACAATATGACTCTAAAGTGAATCCAAGAAACCGCCATCTTACCTGTGGCAAGATATCATCTTAATATGAATAATCTGTCTGGACGTATAGTGCTCGACGTGTGCTGCTTTGCTTGAGAAGCCTAATTATCTAGGCACGTTTTAGTATAGATACACGCGCCAATACTCTTCCGTTTCCTTAGAATCAGCCGATGTCTACATTGAAATTATTTATAAAACAATTCTGTGAGTGTGTGTGTGTTTCACATATGTTTAGGCTCAGTTCTATGCCATGACCACAACTGAAGACAAGGCAAGTTTCTAAGGAGTTTCGCCACTAATAATAGGGAAGTACTTCAAGCAAACATCACTTAAGCTATAAAAATGTTGCGAGTTTCATTTTTGTGCCGCCTTTTGTAATCTATGCGTCTGCTGACAAAATGCTCTACTAAAATCAAGCTACATCGGAACGTGCGCTATTTACTTTATCAGTCTCTGTTATTGTGTTTTTTATTATCCAGCTTATTCAGTTAATTTTGTACACTGATCTCATTTTAGAGGATACCAGTTTGGAATAACGCAACGTTTCCCTAACGCAAGTGCCCCTGAAGGGATGCTTCGTCTAATAGCACTCCGTCTAAGATATGAACCCACGTCTTAAGCACTCTATAAGAAGACCATGAACTGTTCAAAAACACACCTAGTTTGCAGTGATAGTTCTTTTAACATGATGCATCATTTGTTTGCTGTATTGTCTAACTCTAATGATCAATTTTTAGGCTACTTCGACGGTGTCTTTCAAAAGTGTCTTTCAATATACTGTGTATACTACGCGTTTCAACAAGCTTGAATCTGTGCATTGTAAAATTTTTGTAATCCATACATTATGCATGTTGTTCTTATGGCGGAGGAAAGACCTCATTTATTCCTTGTTGTGATGGCAGATTCTCCAATTACGTCATCAACCAGCAACTTTCCAAGCTTACTTTACGTTGTAATTAGTTCAAACTACTAGTTCAAGCACTTCTTCGCAGGTCTCAAAGAAACAATTTATAGTACAAACTGCTTTTTAAAGGCGCTAAGTGTCTTACAGAATAAAAAAAATGGGGGACCCTTAAGCTTCGCCTTCAAGAGTCGAGTGCGATAGTTATATTCTGTTTATAGTTCGTACTTCAAACACTTGGCGTATGAATTCTTTGCGAATTTGCTATGTACCCACTGCGTGGTCATTAGGATGAAGTATAACGTGTGTGCCTTTTGCAGTGGGTGACTGGCTACAAACTAGAAACCATTATGATAATCCCGTGTTCTGGCGGCCGATGGCTATGTACACTTGTATCAAACATTACGGCAAACTGTCATGTTTTATGGTGAAGCATATACACAGGATGCGTCTGTTTGTAAAGCACGAAAATCTATTTCCCGGCATTTCCAATTGGATGAATTTGTTTTCACTGCATTCACATGCAGGGGCGTGGCTGTGTGGTAGAACACCCGCTTGCCATGGAAACGACCCGGGTTCGATTCCCGATGAAACCCAAAATATTTTAAAGATATTTCAAGATAGCTCTTTACACTAATGGGGAGTAGGCGCGTGTTCTGCAGCATCATATCAATGACCACCTTTATACAACTCGCTCAAAGTATAACACCTACTCAGCGTATCATGAATGTCTGCCAAAGAGCGCCTATTGCGCTGAATTATTACGTGCAGGGTAGTCGAAAGTTCTTCTTTGAACGCTGTCATAGGAAAACGTATAGAATAGCGGGCTGCAAACTTTTGATCATCCCTGTACATTCAGCAACACGAAATTTCAGACGAAATGTGCTTTCGCACGTGCTGAACTACAATTTCTGGAAAGTTTGGAACGAGACAACGTTGTCACATGGTAGCTACTCGGCGAAGCTTGCGAACACTTTCCAAATACTGTTTGGCAAAGAACGAAGCGTCCATTCCTAGATCCATGCGGCGCGCAAGCACCCGTGTCGGGTCCCCCAAATATGATGTTCCTGGTGCAGCTTTAACAATGACAAGGAGCAAAAAACAAAACTTTCTTCAGTGAAAGACACGGGGGGAAACGGAAATGTGTGCCATTCCCGTAAGGCACGTACGCTCACGCACGGTGGTCGACTCTGAGCACGCTCAAGGGCAGGAACCGGAATTGCTTCGAGTAGAACGCGTCAATGGCTATGATGTGGCAGTCGTACTTTGTATTTTTTTTTTCAGTTCGCACCCAGCACCCCTCAAGCGCATTTCACATGATTGACTTCCCCTACCCCGACTGGAGACATCTAGGATTCTACCGTTGAACGCCTTTACTCATCGTCGCTTGATTCAACAAACTTGGTTTGCAGAGGGTGAGGCTCCGAAGACCGCGAAGCGCCATAGTAAGTGTCATGCGCTAACGAAAATATATGTGGTTCTCCCTTTCACCTGAAAAAGCACTGCAGCCATGCTTCTAACTTGTATTTGGTTCGTTTGTGGGCTTTACTTCTAACATTTCGACCCGGGTGCTACAGCTATCGCCGCTACGATGTTCTGAAAACGAAACAGGAAAATAAAAGAACGTGATTGTCGACCCAAGATATGTAGCGCTTATATTTGCCACGAAACGGGCTGGGAAGGCCACAGGAGAGACGGAATACGTGGGTAGGTGTGGATGGGTGGCGAGAAGAGTATGTCGAGACGCGTAGAAATAATGAATGAGGACGCGACAGCGGCTTGCAAACATCCCTCTACGTGCGCAAGGAAGTGCGGCAAATAGCGTTACGCACAGACGAGCTTTTCCGTGTTCTCGCCCCCTTGTGCTTGAGCAGCGTAAGTGCACTGACGCTGTTGGAAAAATAGAGTAGCACCATGCCTTATGCATAGCGCGGCGGATACCGCTCGGTCATGCCGGTGGAATACGCAAAATGGGGTAGGGTATCGCCGAATATGAAGCTTTCGTCTTGCGTCCACGTATCGTGAATACTCACGCAGCTCGACGAAATATAACTGTCCGTCAGATAACAAATAAGGGGATCACACCTGAAAATGCAGAGCGGCTGTGAGCAATCGTAGTACCTCTGTCATCTTCGCAGAGTAAACGCTATTCTAATCATGTGCATTTCTGGGATGACGGCATTTCATTTCATCACTGCTCTATCAATGTAAGATACATATTTTCTTTTCATGTTATTTAACTTTCTGCGTGCGAATACAGAACAAACATCTATCTTCCTGTATTAGCGTCTTGAATTGGGCTGATCGGTATACACTGACAAAGAAACAAGTAAAAGCGCTGGAACAGGACGGTGACGAGACGAGCGCAGTGTTGGTGTCTTCTCGTCTCAGTCCAGTTTTAGCGCGCTGTTTCTTCCTTCTTGGTCAGTCTATCTCCATTAAAACGTAGTTTCTCAGGCATCGATAGCAACTGTACACGTGTTACGTGACTGTGCATCACTTTTTCTTCTTTTTCTCCAACGACTCACTTGCGCTTTCGCTCAAAACAAGTTTGCCATTCTGTTTACTGAGGCGCACTCGGGTTTTCGACAAGCGCTGTAAAAGTCGCTCGGCAAGTCTGTTTACACAAGGTTTGATTCCAGAAACACTTCGCTTTCATTTTCTGTCCGCACCGGTGTCACAAAAGTTTCTTCAGCAAGCATTATAAACCTTACATTTCCTGTTTCAGTTAATACTACGCTTTTTTATGCAAAAAAATATTTCACTCATATTAGCTGCGCACAATGAGCCTTCCTTCATTCGCTTGCCTCTTGGTTTTCGCCATCAAAACCTTGCTAATCCTTTCCCGCGAGGCCGACGTAAGCCACTGCTGTCCACTTACTCTGTCCATGCAGGATGGGTGTGTCATATAGTGCGAGCCAAAACACGGCAGTGTAACCTCCCTCTCTCACATTTTATAAGACCTTTCTTTGCCCTTCGCCACCTATGATTCACGTATATTTCGCTTTCTTGGTGCTCACTTTGAGAGCACCTCGTGCAGGGTATTTATTTTATTTTTGCGTTTGACTCGGCAACGCCTCGGGTGCTGCCATTCGCGGCATAGGAGGAGCTTATGCGAGAGGATTATGTGGTTTCTTCGAGCCTGGAAGTGACTGGTAATGAGCTATGAAAGAAGCTTATGACGGGTCGATAAGTTTAATAACTGAGCCCAGGATCAGCACCACGCTTAACACGTCAGAGACGAAAAAGGGCAAAAACGAGGTCCTTACGTAAAGAAAGTATCTCGCCATGCCATAAATATTTACGTCATCGGGAGAATAAATTATTAAGTAAAGAACAAAACTGACACGTGTCGTACGGCGCAGCAGTATCGTGCAGCACTCTAAGTGCGCCATCTGTGTAGTCATCACTGCGATAACGCGTTGCCCTTTCCTTCCGATGTCCAAGTAGAACGTGAAGAGGCCGCTAGAATGAATCTTAGATTGATAAACTGCACTAGTTTTAGACTTGTTAAAATGTAGCCTACTTTTATATATAAAAATTCTGCTCTTGAAAGGTCAATAAGACAAACAATACTGACAAAGTCACAACGTTATTCGCCCAAGAATGTACAAGAAGTGACCCGGTGGCCAACCAATTCAACAGTCAGCTGTGTAGTGTTGGAGCGATGCATTGGTGATTATTGGTTGCCCTATTTATAACCAT